ACCATACATGCTGCTGCTGCTGCTCACTACGAGGGTGCCCTTGAAAGGCTCCAGAGGAGGCCTCCCCAGCTAATGGCAAACTTCTTCTTGCGTGGTGCAGCCCAAGTTCCAACAGGAGCCGTAAAATGCCTGTTCCGTGGCAGCCAAATCTGGCATTGTGAACCTTGAGTCCCACCAAAGCCAGGACGAAGCCGTTACCAGCGATCATGCCGTGCCGTCAGGCAATTGTTTCAATTCCTTCCTTTACTGAGGGGTACGAGCCGATAATCTCCTCCTCTCGCCACTCAGGTATGCTTGGTGCCCTCCTGCCCTTCCAAGTGACTGTTGCCATTCAGTCTGAAATGAAATACAGGCTAATGGACATCCCACCTCTCCTTTTCACCTGCTCAGCAAGGAGCACAGCGCAGCATCCCGGCACAGCCACGCATCCCGGCACAGCCATGCCTGGGGAATGGGGAGAGAACACTGGAAGAGAGAGCCCCAGAGTGCCATCTTGATGCTGCACACCTCCTACTAGGAAACGGGGCTCACCTCAAGTTGCCTGTAGAACTAGAGCGATGTAGTTTGTATCCTGAAAAGGGCAGGAAGACGACAGATTAGAGCTGGCTCTGGAATTATTTAATGTCATGTTTCACGTTGAAAGCAGGCACCACGACTCCCCCGACCAGGCGAGCGCAGGAACACCCAGCTGGTAACGTCCTCCTCTCTTGCCCTCTCTTCCCACGGCATTTGCACAGCAGCTTCAGTACAAGAGATGGAGCACGTTCTCATTTGCTTTCAAGCTTTGCATGGTGCTCCACCACCAGGGTGTGTTCTTAAGCTCTGCTCAGTATACAGGTTAGCGAGCTAATCCTACAGTGTCACTCCCATGTTCCTAGTGCAAGCTGAGCTGGACGCCCAGGTCGGAGCTTTGCATGCCATACCAGAGCCAGGTACCCATATAGTGCCTATGCAGCCCCTGCCAAGCATACCTTAAACCTTCTGAACATGTACTTGTCATCTCCCTGTCTCAGGAGGCTTTGCCTCTGAGGAAGAAAGAAACATTACCCAGGAAAACAAAGACTCCATAAATGCTCTAAGAGGTCTGAACAACTTTTGGATAGCTCCATGAAGTCAGGATAGCAAATGGGGGTGTACCAACTGACCAAAGTGCTCCGTAAAGTTCATTAGCAAACAATTTCATCAATAAAACTGATGAACCACAATTTTAAGAAGCTGGTACAGACACTGTGAGACCACTTGGCCTTACCAAAATAAACGGTACCTGGAATATCTGACCAGCTATGACTGGAACCGCACATGCAGCCGGATGCTCCAGGGTTCCTCAGACTCCTGCTGAGAGATCAGCTGGATCTTGTCAACACAGGGCTGCAACCGCCATTGAAGCAGACCCCCTACGCTACCCTTCTCATCAATTACCTCCAATCGGGGAAAAAAACCTCCTGTAATACATCCCTTTGTATTAACACCATTCAGAAAGCATGGATTTTTGCAAGCCATAACACATATCTACAATGCTATTTATTCTGACAAAACACCGATTCAAAATAGCATGTGTTTAGTGTCTGCAAATGTTAATGGGCTTCTTTTTTCAATACAAACCAAATGAAAGCAAAAACCAATCATACCATAGTACTTGCAGTGGAAATGGGGAATGAAAGGCAGGAGGCTGAAAGGTAATATCCCTAAACAGATGCTCCTCAGTCCTTCGATAAAGAGACTATCAATATATTAAAGAATCCACAGTGAACGTTAAGTAATCACGACGTCTGCAAAGGAAACCAGTTTCCATTACCATTTAGTTCTCTGCTAGCTTTAATATAGCTAAAAATCAATCCAAGTAACACATACATACATTCCCTCATAGAAGGCTGCATTCTTTTCTAAACCCCTCTCCCCCTCTCTCTCTCTAGATTTATATATCTTGTACACATGTGTGTGTGTGTCAGTCTTGCATGAAGCAGTGTGAAAGAAGGGGTCTACAAGTTTTCCAGGGTCTGAAAAGTTATTTCCTAGCAAAATCTGACAATTCGCAAATGAGACACGTTCTTATCCCCAGCTATTGGCCCAGACATTGAATACAAGAGAGCAGACCACTATGAAAAACCTCAGATATTAAAGAAAAATACACAAGGGAGAATGTGATTAAATCTCTAGAAGCTCAAATAGGGGACTCTGCGGTAATCAAACCTCAGGCAGCATTATATATACCTCGTGGAAGTCAGCCAAACTTCTGGCCGTCCCTTCCTGAAAGTGAATGTAAACAGTGACACTTTATTCAAAGAAAAATATGGTATTGTGGGTGTCGGATGGACCCATTCCAACCTTAAAGAGGGCTTACTTTACAAATACAGCATGAAGTGGGCTCTGCTTCTACTAAATCCCGCAGAAAATCAAGTGACTGTAATGGCCTTGTGCAATTCAAACTAAAATAAAGCATGTTGTTCAAGAGTAGTCATCTTTCCTAAGTTCATCTTCATAAGTCTAATAACACAAGAATCTGGAAAAATCAGCAGGGAAGCACCGGCTAGTTCTCTGAATGCTGAGTTTGTACAAGCAAATGGGAAATCCTGGGAATTTTCATTAAATTTTCACCTCCAACTTGGCCTGGTGTGTCTTGTTTCTCATCTCACACAAAATTTCAGCAAGTTCTAATATTATAGTCAAACTAAAGTAATATGTTCAAAAGCCATGTTTTTAGCACCTAGTAATATCAGGTAATGAAGAACAGGCATGCTCATTAACTTTTCATTTTGAAATGGGATTTTTATCAGTGCCGTAAAAACAAGCAAACAAAACCCCAACTGTCTTCTATTACACTGACAGTTGCATTTGTTCATTATACCTGCTAATCAGCAATTAGTTTAACGCCAGCATAACTGGAATGGAATAATGGCTCCAGATGCTATGACAAAGGAAGTTTTCATTCCTTAAAAATGCGTCTTTAGGAATAGCAGGAAGGGAAGATGTCTCAGAGAAAACAAGATTCTCTGCCAACATATAAACTGAAGAAATAATGCAACAGAAAATTCATGTGCGTAACAGCCCGAGTTAAAAACTAAGCAGTACTTCAGGCATTCATAGTAGCTTCCCGGCCTATCAATGGAGGTGAAGTGAAAAGATAGGTATAAGGACTCTTCTAGACTTTATAAGCAAGATAAAACCTGGTTTTATACTTAAAACATGAATAGCTATATTTTTCAATCATTGACTTTAAATGGTAAAGGACTGCTTTTCACCTTTTCTGGTGTCCAGAGTTCAGAAAGGTGCACTGAATGCTAATACAAGCAAACTTCTCAATGCTGAACAAAGGCTGTTTTCTGTTCTTCTGGATTTTTAAAATATTCATGGTGGAAACATTTCCTAAAATTCTTGTACGCTTCAATCCAGTCCTCCTCTTTATCTTTTCCCCATCTTCTGGACTCCCAAAACAAAAGCAGACCATGTTCATGAATGCATTCTTCTTCTCTGTCTCAAAGTGGAGAGGGAAGAGAATTAACTGCAAAGCACATCACCTCCAGCACCAGTCTTTGAGGCTGCACACCAAGGTATCTTCAAGGTCTTGATCTCAGACATCAGTCTGAGAAACATGTTATGAAGAATATAATACATATTGCTCCCGTTCACGTTGGATTACCATTTCATTCTCTAATTCTTGGTGGTATTATGCATAATTTTCTTGACTAATACCACCTATTTAAAAAGAAAATAAAATATCTAGCTCCTTTCTTCTTGCTCACAATCTGACACTAAATAAGTTACTGAAACACATAACATTTTGGTATGAAGTGCCCAAATAAATTTGCCTGGAGCAACACTTCACAGCACAGCAAAGCTCTGCCAATCCCCAAATCCAACAACACAAGCAGCATGGCAACCTCCCTGCCATTAAAGCTTGCTTCCCCCCCCCCCCCCCCCCCTCACCCCCCCTTTGCAGCCCGCTGTTGGTCACATATAAAAATCTATCTATATCTATCTATTTGTACATTATGAAACATCATAAATAACTGTCATATAATTGTAAAAAACCCCAGTGTAACTGATGGTGGTACTAAATGGTTGCTATTCTATTTTCTGAGTGTTTGGGGTTTGCCAGTTGATTCACCAACTTCAGGAGTATACAACAGTTCTCTCAAACACAAGCCTAGACCAAGGAGGTTCTATCCCAGCACAAAAACACCCAACCCATAAAGCCAGAAGAATAAACAAGATCCCTCGTCTTTTCTTGTTTAAGCTAATCAGACTGATTTATTATTTTCCTGTCACCAGTTGTTTATCTCAGGTTTGAGCTAATTATTCATCCATTCCTAAAAGTATATAAAAAGAAGAACAACAGTCCAACAAGTACAAGTCACTCCATTTACTCACCAATCCATTTCCTTTCAACCTTTCCAGAGTTCAAGCACAGGAAGGGTACAAAAATCCTGGGTGGCAGAACTTTTTGAATAATTACTAAAAAGAAACCCTGTCCACATAGATCACTTTCAAAGCATAATTGAAAGGAAATCATAAATGAAAAAATGTTGAAGTATTTATACCACTAGACAGAGGGCCACAGGTGCCATAAAGCTGATCCTCAGAAACAGTTTCCAGGTTACATTTTAATTAAGAAAACATTCACATATGTCAATGTGAGACAAAACATTCCAAAATTTAGTATCTTACATATTCCAAATCTATTTTGCTAATATGCAATAGCATTATTATTATTATTATTAATAATAATTTAGCCTATCCCCTACTGCCTCACAAAGGCAAAACTGATTTTGGAAGTGAAGAGCTTGCGTGATATACAGAACACATACTCTATACATTCCTTCCATTAACTTACTTTCAAATGAAGCTTTTTTATGCCACCGGTCAAATTCCCCAAACTTGATGTCCCTACATACATTTCACTGCATGGATATGACCCATTTTCCTCCTCTAGTCCCGTATTCTTTTGTGTCCTTCTTTTAAAAAAAAAAAAAAGTTTAACCATCAAGTGAAAAATGTCCACAGGCATCTTACATTGCTTTATTTTAAAATTAGAAAAAAAAAAACCCAAAACAAAACCAACCCCCATCCAGACAGCTTCTTCTTTTGGAGAACAGCTTTACATTCCTGAGAGTGAATAACTGTTGGAACAAGACTGCCTCTAAATGTTCCAGGACTTGTCAGACATTGTAATCAGGGGACTTTCCCTGTGGTTGTCGCAGTCGAATTTGTAAGGTACAAAATGCTCCCACAGTCACATGAAAGAACAGCTGCCACAGGTTGCGCAGTTCATAGAGATACATGTTACACAGGCAAATTAACCCAAAAGTCAGGAAGGATTTGGCATTCCTCCAGCCCGTGTAGTATACAAACAGGTAACACTGTCAGGAAATAAAAAAGAAATCAGATTACCACATGGAAAATAACTTCCACTGAAGAAACACTATCTGGTCATTGAGAAATTACAAATCCAAAACAAGTAAAAGGTGTAAATCAAACATGTAAGAACAGTACCGACTTAGCAGTCATGGAAGGGTGAAAAGTACCTGACACCAATACAACGTTACATTTTGCTTCCATTAAACCCTCTTTGGGAACAATTCTCTCATAATAAATGATTACAACCTGCAATAATGAGTGGCCCATGACAAAGGAATCCTGGCAATCTCTGGTCAAAATAGACTCTGTTCCACCCGAGCAACGGAGAAGGAAACAGAGCCACTGTTAAGTCTTCTTCAGGCAAAGCAATGGGAAGGGCAGGGAAAATACAGGGCCCTGCATCCGGGAATACTCAGCACAAGGCAATCCCCCAGGTACCAGCCCACTGTCCTGCTAGGGTTCATGCAGAGGACTAACTGGTAGATGCGGAGAGGTCCACAAATGCCCACTGCCCTTCTTCAGCTGGTGCAAGATGGATCACATTCGGACAGAAATACACAACTTCTCTACCGCAATTCTACCACATTCTGCACGCTGTGGTGTAACACAGAACGTCAGGACTGCCCACAGTTCCCTGCTCTGCCTTCTTCCTACTGCAACTGGAAATCCGTACAAGTCTCTCGCCACAGTTTTCACCTCCAAAAGGACATAGCTTTTACGTAGCCATTATTTTGACTTCTGCTATTGTTCAAACTACTTCCTTGACTTCTACAAAAAAAATTGCTTGCCCCCGCTCTGGATTCTAGCCATTTCTGTCTGCTGAATAAAGTTTTTACTGTGCTTCGAGGTAGATAACAACATCACTTGGGCTTACTTCGTATTCCAAATCTGTTCCCAGTGGATATATAAACATGCTCATACAAATTTTTTAACAGCATCCATCATCAGATTATCTAAGTGTCATTTCTGTTCTTCTCGGGCATTTGCCACGCTTTATCAGCCAGAGAAACTCTACTTTAAATTTTTTTCATTCTTCATGTTCCCCAAAAAAGCACCAAAGCATTGTACGTTTGCAACTGAACAATGCAATTTATTGAGGTTACTTTATATTCTATTCGAAACTCAACCACTTTCTTGTAAAGCATGCATGGCTGAGATTAACAAAACTACTTGTAATTTCTGGATATCTAAATATCTTCAGAGATGTGAGCACTGACAGTATCAGTAAGATTTGTATGTCCTTCCTCCAAAGCAAAGTAAAAATAGAGATAAGTAATCCGCATGTTTCAGAATCCAGATGGAATTCTTCTGAACC